GGGTTTCTGTTGCGCTTTTGGGAATCGAGGCACCTTTTGGTGAGGATGTGCTTGTATAAGAGATTCTGGACCTTGCAGACCACTCCACTTGATTTCGCTCTGATTTGCCTCAATGCTTAGGACCGAAATGGCCCAAACCAGGGGCTGGGGCATCGCTTCAGCCATTGGCAACACATGGCAGGGTGGTCCAACAATCTCCTTGTGCTGGGGTGGGTTTTGAGCCTCTCCCCATATAAGTGGCCAATGGAAAATGCCAGTTTTGGAGATGCCTGCATCTCCACGGGCCATGTTGGGTAGAACTGGAGCTTCTCAATATAGGACTGTTGTTTTTTGTGGTTTCTTTTTTATTTTTTCCTGAGACAAAACTTGATGTTCCCCAGCTTCTATCAGCTCTGTAAACTTGAGGACTCCACAGAAAGCCCTTGTGCATAGAGAGTTTTGGTCCCCTGCTTATCTGTGACGTGAAATGGGCAGAGGGTCTTGGTCCTGCAGGGCCGGCTGGGCTTTGGAAGAGCCACGCGCCCGCCTGCCGGGATGCGAGCTGGGAATTGCTCGGCTGGTCGGGTCCTTTGGAGGATGTCGGCTCGCGAGGGCCTTCCCCTTTCACACCCTTCTAGGAGGCTGGGTTGCAAAACCTCAGGATGGGAATTTCTCAACTCTACATACAGATCTAAAAAAAAGAACATAAAATGCATCACATGCGTGATGCTTTACAAACCAATATCTGTGTCAGCTTAGGCAGTAAATCACATGAGCGACTCAAGCTAACATACGTGCATAACCGAGAAGAAAATGGCAAATATTAGGATGTTGAGGCGCTTCGTATCTGTAACACATTCCCCTTCAGAGCAAGTGCTCAACATGGATTCTTGCTTATAAAGAGATTCTTATAAAGAAATTCTTGTGTATACATATATACATATACACGCACTCTCCCTATATATTTATAAATATATAAAAGCTTGCTTAAGAAGGAGATAAGAAGTCTGCAACCTCAAAGAATTGCCTTGATTTCTTGCTGACAGTTTCCCACAGGTCTACACACTTCCCAAGCTGAAATCTTTGAATTTTTTTGGTATAGAATATTTGATCTTCCCATTGGAACGGTGCAGCATGGTAATCCTCGTGCACCTGCGTGAAGGCAGAGGTTAGGCTGCGGGCTTAGCTTTGACTTGAGCGTTTTGTGCTTGCCTTTCACAAGTTATTTGTCTAAACAACCTCTATGCTCAGTATTTTTAATGCGGAGTTAGAATTGCCGGCGCCCTTGTAGCTTCTCTTTGCTTCAGGAGTGGAGCTCACAGTGAGACTTGGGAGGTTGAGTTTTGCAGAAAGCTCTTTCGACTGATGGGAGTTGTCGCGTACCCGATCTCTAAGGGATTTGAGATAATGCAGATGCCCCAGCACCCCACAAGGTTTTTGCCCTGGCTGTATATTAAGACTCCCTTTTTTCTTCTTTTTTATTTTTTTTTGGCTTTTTTTTCCTTTGGCTTTTTTTTTTTTTTTGCACACAGATCTAATCTTCTAGAAAATGCCCCGAGGGTTTGAGCAATCTACCAGTTGCAGGGACCCATAAAGGTTTTTTCTTTCTTTTTTTTTTCTTTTTCCATTGTGTAAGCATGACAAATCATTAATTTTTGATTGATTGCTTTGAATTATGGGTGCTCTGACATCCTTTCTGTAGCTGAACAGCTGTATAACAAATGAACATATCAGTGTTCACAAAAGATTGGAGATCTAACAGAAGCAATTACACTGTCAGCTCCTCCCTTCTGGCTTTTCCCAGGCAATGGAGGGAGGAAATTTTTTAACAGAAATTCCTCAAGTGGCTAACAATAATAATAATAAAAAATACCTTGTTGTAATTGAATTAGATTTTTATTTCTTCATTGCTAGTGCATTTCTTAAACTGGAAGCCAAGGTATGTTGCTGCTTTGTGCACCTCAGAGAATCTCTTTCAGCAAAATTTCATATTAGGAATTAAAAAATAAAACCAAATTGTAATTTTTGGTTGCTATTCCTTTAAGATTTCAGAATTGCACCAGTGCACTAAATGTGACCTCCATAACTTTTAAATTAAGAATTTATGCTGGCTTGAAATTTATGAAATATTTCAGCATGAAAGAAAGCCTTTTTCCCTCAGGAAAATTGAGCAATAAATCACAGCACTCTCGATTTACTGCCCTACAGCCAGCCAAAGATAGGATTTTTTTTTCCTTCCCCCCTTCCTTCTGAAAAAAAAAATGTAATCATATAAGACAGCTTAGCTGCTATCCTCCCACTCTCTAGAATTTTTAATTTCAGCTGTTTCTGCTTGGATTTATTTCCAATATTCCTGCTCGGCTTTTCAATTTCCTCAGTTATTAAATTTTAATTCAGTGCATTAGCATTTAAATTAAAAAAGGGTTTATTTTATCGAAATCGTTGGCTAGCCCCCATCCTGCTGCACATGAATTGCCTGTTTCTGCCATTTGCACAAAATGTGAAATGCAACTAATATCTTTTAACTTATATTTGCACAAATTCAGAAATAAAATTTCTGGGTTTGGAATAATATTGTCTTTCCAAGGAAGGCTCTAATCAGAGAACCGAGGGAAAGACGCAGTGCCTGGCAAGCCAAAGAGGCAAAAATAGGAGTTGCTCCCTGATAATCCGGTTTGAACGGCGGGCGGGTATTGAATTAGACAATTCATAACTAACCGAGGGAGCTCTGCTCGGCTTGACCCTTCTAATTAGGGAGCAGCCCAGGTATGTTTAGAAAACAAACCCCAAGCCAGCCTGTGACTAGGTCCAGTGTTCAACCCTCTGCAAACTGGTGTTTAAGAAGAGTTTGTCCAGGAGAGCTGGGACTTGGATGAGTCAAGATTTGGGATGAAGGGGGATTATTCCGGGTTTAATTTTGCATTTTGCGTGCTTTCCTGGTAGGGTTGCTTAACCTTTTGTTTGCTGCTCTCTCCTTTCCCAGGATGGGGGCTGCCCGCTGCGTGGGGGCCCGGTGGGTGTCAGGACGGGGAGCTGGGCCCGGGGTGGCCCTGGCACCCGTGTTCGCTGGGCCCCGGGCAAGCTCCTCTCCTCGGGCCGTGTTCAGCTGGCTGGAGTCCCCTGGAGTCCCTCTGCCCCGTGTCCCTGTTGACTGGCTCCAGGCCTGCAGAGCAAACAGGAGCCATGGCCTCTTTTAGGTGTAATTTTAGGCCATCTGAATTTGGGTGTCTTCGCCTTATTTTCCCTCCACAGAAGAGGGGATTCTTATTTTAAACCTCGAAAGGCTCCAGTGTAGCACAATAAAATGATTGCACAAGAGGTCTCCTACCAGTTGCCACCAGCACGGTGTGTTTGGAGACGTTGTCGTGGGCTGTACACTGGGGAATAAGCGTTGTGTTCCCAGAAAGTTGCCTCACTTGTGGAGCTATGTCTTAAATTATCCCTCAGTCTACTGAAAACTTAAGTCGTGTAGTTGGATTTGAGTGCATGACACGTCCTGCCAAAATTGAGAATTGAGCATGTGTGTAATTGAGAATGGAAAAACCCAAGGATTTTTGGTGCAGAGTGCGAGCAGGAAGGGTTGGAGTGCAATCTTGCCTTTCTTATCCTAAACAGCTTTTTTTAATATCTTTTTGCCCCCTAGGCTGACGAGAGCAACAGTACTGGAAGGAGGAGCTCCTCAAGCAGGTATGTGGATGAGTTTCTCTTTCCTGGTGGGATGTCCTGGGCAGATCTGGCTCTGGAGCAGGAGATGGGGCGGTGGAGGCGCAGCCGCCCAAGAAGGGCAAGGCAAAGACTTTAGGAGCGCACGAACCCTGCACCCATTGTAGGTGGTGCTAAATGCTTAGATTAACAAAAGATAACTCTGGCCTTCGGGGCTGCAAGGAGCTGCGTGTTTGTAGGCAGCACAGGGTGGTCTGCCTGGGTCTCCCTGGCCTCTGCCCACATCTGAGAGGTGACGTAGGGCTTCCAGGATGGGCCTGTGCTGGAGATCTTCAGCGCTACTGTGGCAGTTGGGTGAAGACCACCCTGTTCCTATGTAAGAACAGGGAAGGGAGTCCCTGTGCCCCCAGCCCTCTCTGATTTCTTTGCATGCTGCGGGCCTGGGAAGGCAAGGGCAGTGGCTGCTTCCAGAAGGAAGGAAGCTCCACAAGAGGGATGTGATGCGACTGGATCAGCCCTGTGCTAAGACGTCTCTGTCTCCTGCCTGTTCGTGCTGTGGGGGATCTTCCCTTGCTGATATTCTTGGTCCCAGGACATGCAGTGTGGCTGTGCTGCGGGCCTGCTGATGTTGCCTGGAGCAGCTCGCACAGCCTAGCACGCTGCTCAGATTTCCCCCCAGTTCCCTGTGTTTCGGTGTTGGTTCATCTGAGCCTTGAGCACCAGCTTCCACGGCCTGGGGGTCATCTGCTGAGAAGGCCTCCTTTGGCAGCGTTCATTGCTGCTGCTGACGAAGACTGCCACCAAGACATGGAAGTATGGAAAAATGTGCTTTAGCTGGCCTTCTGCTGAGGAGGAGCGTTCATGGGGGAGAGATGGTGGGAGCTGAGTGGCTTTGCCTTGGAGCAGTCTGATTTATCTGGGGCCATGTGTGTTTGAAGCACAGTTTATTAGAGTGGGGACCATGAAGTACCCAAGTCACCACTTAGGAATTACATTGCAATGGGTAGGGGAATATAAACTGTAGAAAAACTGTGCCAGGTTGGCTGCCATGGAAGAAGTCAGTGTGGTCTGGTAGGCTGCACTTCACCTGGGAGATGGTTCCCTGAGGTTCACATATTCCTTCCTTGGCAAGAAGGTCACGACTGCTCGGACAATCCTGAAGCTGCTGCTGCTGCTGGTGGGAGGCAGGTGCTGAAGCCAAGGCCTGTGTCCATGTGAGGAGAGCGTGGATGTGGCTGGAGGATCAGTAACGCTGGGCTCGCAGCACTGCTGTCTCTGCTTTGAGGTGGCAAGGGCTCATTTTCTGTGCAGAATGGGCCCATCATCTGTGCACACAGATGTGCTCTGGCCTCAGTGCTGTCTCATCTGGCCTTGGGGGAAGGCCCACGAGCACTGCAGTTTAACTGATCTCCTTTGAGACGGGAGGCTTTTATCTGGGGACCCAAAGCTCCTTGAAGCCAGGCAGCTGGAATCACCACTTTTCTACCACGCTGCCTTCCTCTTCTAAAGCTCGATCTGTGTTTCATGCCCTCCCCTTTGCACTAGCAAGCAATAATGTGTCTACTAATAGTATTCCTGAACACCCTCTTGTTGCTGTCGGGGACTTAAAAGCACTGCTAAAGTTTTATCTGTCAGGTGAAGCTCTTCCTTCCACGTTAAAACTCAGCTCTGTTCTTCTGATCTCTGAAATCCTTCACGCGAGGTCCTCCTTCCACTTCGTGCATCGTTTGCTCCCCTGCGGTGACAACCACTTTCCCTTCCATCACTCCTCGCGGCGCCCTGTGTCAGCATCTTAGGTGTGTAAGAAAAAATCATTTTGGAATAAAACGCTGTTTTGTATTTACCGGGAGTTCTTTAGTAATGCCGAATATTGCCTAGCTTTGAAGGACTCCTGGTTGCCCACAAGAGTAGGGCTTGGGTGAGGGCAAGGGCAGCTTCCCGCAGTGGGGAACCACGCCAGCGTTGGGCCTCTTGTGCAGAGGACCCTGCTCTCTGATGGCCCTCCTAGAGATGAGCAAAGGACACGTACCTGCCCCAGGAAAAGGCAGCTCCTCCGAGTGCCACTGGCACATTTGCCCTTTCCTCAGGTTGGAGCATTGCGCTTTGGGTCAGCTGCTCTTACTGTCCCTGCTAAAACACACTCAGTAGGAGCTCTGCGTGCTTTAACTTCAGTCAACACTTACAAGGGTCCAGAGCAAAGCCAGGACACACCATCATATTATGGAGAGGTTCAATGGTGATTTAGTGTGTGCAGTGCTGTGGGCTTGGGACAGCTGGAAAAAAAGCTCTGGCAGGAAAGCCAGAGAGAGAGGTAAGTGAAAGGAACTTCACACTGTTTCCTTCCACCAAAGTCTTTCTTTTGACTTAAAATTCAAGTTTGTAGCTCTTGCTGAACGGTTTTGTGAAGCGGGTTAGTGAGCACGTTCTCCAGGTGGGAGCAGACACCTTGGGAGTGTGGTCTTGGTGGGCATCCTCTCTGTCCTGGGGTGCAGGAGATGCTCTGTGCGCTGTGGGCCTGGCCCCCTTCCTGGCTGTGAACGCTGACGTTCCCAAAAGCAGGTACCAAATCTATGCCCTTAATAAGAGATGTAGCTGTCAGAGTGTCAGGCCTTATTACTCTTTAAATATAGTGAGAATAAGTGCTGAGGTTGGTCATTAAAAAAGTGCAAACAAAATCCATTTTATCATTTATCTGACTGACTAAAAGATGGGTGAAAAAGAAGAATAGCAAAATCTATTTCAAAAATAAAGTAGAATTAAAATCTAGTATTTCCAGAAAGTTGTATTGCTGACTAAAGGTTGAAAATTGGCTTTGACAAAATCTCCTCTGATGCCTTTAGTGGCTGAGATGCAAGATTTTGTTTTTCAGTGTTGCTGCTTGAAACTGTCCCATTAATGACAAGCTATAGTGTAAGCGCTTTATTATTAATTTATATCAGTGAAAAGTTTAAGCTTTTCATAAGGTTGCTAGGATGACTTTACCTTTCTGCATTTTTTAAACTAGGGTATGTTTGATTTTAATATTGTGACCGTATAATTATGTTGCTCCTATTTTTATTTATTTATTGTATTGAGTTGGTTTTATCGTTTCAAGCAAATATTAAACGCTCTGAAGGCCCAAGATTTTGTGATTTTTACCACCTTCACAGCTCTGATTTGACCTGTTACCTTTGAAATAAGTTTGTTCAGTGTGCAACATAACTACATAGAAAAAACCTTTCTTTTATGGGAGCTAGAAAGGTTATAGTTGTTTACCTTTGAGAAGACAACCAAGACGAAAGTTTTGCATGTTCCTGAATGGTCTAGAAAAGCTAGATCAGGGACTTTGTTCTTCTGAAAGAAAAAAAAAAGTCAACAAAATGAAAAGGTAACAAACAATAAGTAGTAATATTTTTTTTTCTTACTTGATGGGCACGTAGCTCTTAGAACATATGTCTGAGTGATGGAGACCAATGCTTGAGTGGGACTGGGAAGGGACCTGAACCCCCTGCAACTGTAGGTGACATGGTTCTTTTGGATTAGGAGAGCTTCCTGGGCATCAGTTATCCTCGAGGGGCCTGCTGGAACATTTCCTGAACCTTCTTCTGAAGCCCTAAAGTGAATGGACCGGATTTGATTCATTCACTGCTATGAGCCTGTATGACAATTCTGAAGATCTTTTGCTGGGAGTCGAGGGTGGTGTGGGGACATCGTTCAGAAAAGCAGACCTCAGGGTAATTGTTGGGAATCTCTGTAATACCATTGTGAAACTAACTACTTACCAATAATTAATGTCAGCATTCAGATGGTGGGCTCTGGATCTTTACAAGAAATAATTGAAAAACCAAATGTGCAATTATGTCTGACAAGCAGTGTGTGCTTTTCTTGGTCACCAGAGCCTTGTGTAGTCATGTGTTAGGCACAGTTTTATATAATTATTATTGTTTATATGGTTGGTGTCAGAGGAAGGAAGAATTTTAGTTTTAAGTCCTCCGTTGGCCATTTATTTTAAAGTCATTAGATTTGTTTTCAGACATAACTGCACTTAATGTGTGAGACTCATGCTGAATAAATCAGACCCTGATATAGGAACAGCATCTGTTTGCGGGAGGGAACAGAGCCAGCTGGAAGCTCAGCCTCTGTCTACACCATGGCTGTCACCCACCAGGAAAGCCACTCGCAGCACAGATGTAGCTGTGCAGAAAGCCATTCCTGTGCTCCCAAAAGGGAGCTGAACGCGTGGCCCTTCTGGGTTCCAGACTGTTGTGACGGGACAGATGGGACCCATCTTTACTGCAGCGTTCAAGAGCACCATGATGGGGAACCCAAAGGGGTTTAAAGCTTTGATGCTCATGAGACTTCAGGAGAAGGGCTCTGCAGTGTGACCTGGAGGAAGGCAGCGGGAGCTGAGCTGGCACGAGCGGCCCCAGAGGTCCTCCAAGCTGCACCCCGGTGCTCTCCTTGCTCTGACACGGCACATTTTTCCCGATACACCAGACCAAGCCACACTGCTTTGGTGCTCTGGCAGTTCCAGTCTTGTTTAGAGGATATGGCCCTCTGTCTGGAGGAGGAGGTGACAGCGGGTGGTTGCACACACTGCTTTGGCTTTCTCCTTCTCAGTTCATCCCGTAGCATCCTTTCTGTTTCCTTCCCTTGCTACCAGCATTGCTTGTTCTGCCCTTGCAGACACCTCCTCCCTGACAGCTCCTTTAGCCCAGGGGACGTCTCCTCTGCAGTGGTTCCAGCGCTTCTCTTTCTCTTCGTTGAAAGCTCCATCAGGCCCCCAGTGTTCAGGGAGTCCGATCTCTGAGTGTGCGTAGGCCCATCCTTGGGAAGCCCGTGGAAATAAAGCCATCCTGATCCTTGGAGATGGGCTCCACATCCCAGGGGAGGCAGGTGGATGGAGACAGTGCAAGTGGAGAAGGGAACATGTTGGGTTTTCAATGGCAGAGCATGAAAAGCTTGAAATTCATCTTGCACTAAAAAAAAAGAAAATTATTAGTAATTAGGCAATATATTTAATGAATCTTGGTCCCCTTTAGAGA